CTTCTTCCTCCGATGAAAAATACATTGCATCCAACAATCAGGTGACGATTACAGTGGAAGAAGGACGTTAGCAGGAGCATTTAATTTGTATGAGAAGGGGTAAGGGTGGCACTAGGACTAAAGATGAGCCATTTTATCCTCTACTTTTGTCCTAAATTGTGTATCAGTACTTGGTCAAATGTCGTCGTCTCTATAATAGTTGGGACAAAATTAAAGGTGGAAATGTTGGGAAAACTCTCAAGTGTTTGTAGTGAAATATGGAGTATATACTTTTTTTGTTTACAAGTAGTAGGGCTTAGCAATCAAGTAGAAGAATAATTCGATTATTCCTGTTTACTTCAAATGTAACTTGTCTTTCTTATTCAATATGTTATTATCCCATAAAAGAAAGTTTGGGTTAGTTCATGAAAGAGGTTCTTCATTTAATTAAAGATCTAAGATATATGAGCACACAATACAAACATTTTACAAAAGCAATAACATAATGTTCACTAGGGTTTTAGTCAAGCATTCAAGCAGTTAGTCCAGTCCTCATTTCAATTTGTGACTTGAATAGATTCTACAACAAGAGTTTGAACACTTACAGTTGAACAAGCTCACAGCAGACCTACAAAAAATTGCAATTGGAAATATGTTATACCAATCCTGGACTATAAAGGATGAAATTAAAAGCTATTTGGTGATTGAATGAGTTTGAAAGGTTAAGGAAGGCAACACGAGGGATGTGCACCACTAGTCTATCCAAATAGGTCTAAAAATGGTTCTTGAAAAATTTGTCACCTATACACACACTTATCAATTTTAATCACTTAATTATAAAATTATCAATTTTAGTCTTTAAGTATTTAAAAATTTACCAGCTTTAACTTTTTCTTATCTTTAATAGAAACAGCTTAGGTTTATATTAACAGAATCTATGTCTCGAAAAATTAAATTTATTAGCAATTTTTTCTGTTGTTAAACATAAAGAGCTTAGGTTTATAGTTCAAAATTGTATTTTAGAACATTATGAACTTTAACCCACATACAAAATCAAGATATACAAGAAAATAATAGAGATAAGCCTATACGTACAATGATGATTTAAATATACAAACATGTATGGAAAAAATTTACTCGCACGTGGTGTCTATACCAAACTAATTCAATTTTAATTATTATGTGATTTAATGAAGTAAAATACATGCTAATTAATTAAAATTAAGTAAAATAAACTATGAATTAAATACATGACATGCATATATTATATTGACATAAATATCCCATATAAATAAATTTTACCCGACAATGAATAGAATGAAGGTAAAAAGAGAGTAAAAAGATAGAGAAGATGACGAAATAAAGCGGCTGGTGGACTGGGGGTGGGGTGGGGGAAACAACATATTTGAGTTTTTAAAAAAATGACTTGTTAATGACTCATTAATTAAAGAATTTAAATTTAAAATAATTATTTAAAATCATGTTTTAAGAATTTTCTGTATCCAATATATTTTTAAAAAATATATAATATAAATATTAAAAGTGATAATATATATAATTATTTTAAACTAGAAATAAATATAGTATATGATAGTAATGTATGTATAATTAAATAATTTTTCCTTTTTAAAACTATAATATTAAACTCCTAAATCATTTTTTCTTTATCTAATCATAATAAAATATTGATATTTGACAGTGGGAAAGACTAAAGAAAAGTATAAGTCTAAATTTTGACTTTTAGACAAAGATGAAAATTTTCCAACTTGTTATAAATTCATTGAGTATTGGATGACTATTTGGTTTATTCATAAATTACTAAATTCATGTATGTGTATTTCCTAGATGATATGAACCTTTTGAATAATAATGTAGATAACTATGTATCTACTAGTTAAATAACTTTTGGGAGTGATATTTCAACATTATAAATAGAGATATCAATCACCATTTGATATACACTTGAATAATAACAAAATTTCTCTTCTTCTATCTACTTCTATTTATGATTATATTTTCATAGCTTGATTTTATTACACGTTATCAGCACTAATATGCTCTAAAAATTGTAGCACTTCGCAAAAGTGTTTTAGTTGAAACACTTGTGAGTAGGAACATGTTCTATTTATTTTTTCTTGTTACACATTTATATTTTCAAAAGTTTCTCTTATACTAATAATTTCTTTTAAAATATATGTGTTATATGAAAAGGTTGAAACATTGGTTTATTTTACTTTAAGAATTTTATAGATTGGTTTATGATTATACTAACAGTTCTTCTTTTCAGAAAAGAATTGAAGGACAAATAAGTAAATTTTCATGTTGATTTTCTAAGTGTTAATTATGATGAACTTATTAATATTTACAATTTCTAGAGGTGAGAAAACTTTCAATCTTATTTTGACAAAATTTGCTCCTATAATTCTTGATTTCATTTAAAGGCTCATGGTTGAGTTCTATGAGTATTGACTTATATGACATTGATTGAAGGTTAAGACGATGGATTCAAGCTCAATCTCACCAAAAGGGTAAGACATCAAGTTAAAGTCCGGATGCACCATTAAAAAAATATTTGAGGGTAAGACGGTAGATGTAAGTTCTACCGCACCAAGAGGGTAAGACATCAATTTAAGTTTTGATGCACCATGATGATAATGATTGAGTTCAAGTCCCATAGAATTTGGCCTAATGCGCCTTATATGGATAAGACATTGAGTTTGAGTCAATGCACCATAGTGATGATATAATAATGATTAAGGCTTTGTAAAAAAGTCTTGAAATTCGTGAGATTGAATTTGCTTCACTCCTTGAAAAGAATGTGGTAGCAACATATGATAATTTTGAAATCACATGTTCACTTGCTCCATTCTATCGTAAGAATGTGATAGCAGTAAATAGTTAGTCTGAAAGATGACAAATGATTAACGATATTAAAAGGGGCATGAAATGACGGAATTATAATAGTCATCTTTATAAAAGGAAGAACACTATTGGTTCTTTGAATAGTCCTTCAAAATGTGAAGGCAATTTTTATTATCAAAATGGTAGAAAGGTCATTAGACTTGTGAATGTTGTCGACCCAATAATTTGACAAGTTTATAAATCCTCCATCAAGAGACAAGAAGATAAAGTGATGGTACACTTGATCTTTCAAAGTGATGTTGAGGTGTATCATGGAAATATGATGAATTTTAAAATCATGACAATGTACTTATAATGCAAATTTATGAAGTACATATAAATGATTAGTCCATTCCTTGAAGAGAATGTGACTTGTGATGAGTATCGTGAATGCTCGACCATTCTATAAGAGAATGGGTCAAGATGTGATAAAGTCATTATGCGTTGAATATATGTCACAACTCACCTCTATAGGAGGTTTGAGAAAAAATAATATATATCAAAATTCACCTCTAAGGGAGGTTTGAGAGGAAATAAATTTTATTTGCCAGAAATAGTTAATGGTATTGTATGTTTATACGTCACTATGGTATGTTATTGTGAACTACCGAAAGGGCAAAAGAAAGAAATAGTTCTTGCCTGTAAGGGTTGTAGTCATTATTGTGTGGCAATACAATTTTGTCATTGGTTGTGTACCTATGGTACAACAAAATAGTTATGCATCCGGTTTATGACTAAAAAAATTCAACAATTAAAAAATAAGCAAACCATGACACGTAGATACAAATTATCCAAAAATATATCAAGATAAGTATAAGTCAATAAAAGCGATCGTGCTAGAACTACTGGACTTGAGGGATGCCTAATACCTTACTCTCGGTCAATAGAATTTCGTACTCGAATTTCTAGTTCGCAGACCGAAACTAAAGAGTCATTTTCGTTTGATTAGGGATTAACCAAAAAGGTGACACAACTCATTTCTCTTGCAGGTACCAGGTCCCTCATAAATGCGGGAACCAGGTCCCTTGCAAACTTCTGTATGAGTTCTTGAAAAGGCTTGCTGGCTGACTTTCTTCTTTGGATGAATGAATATAATATGGTGTTTGTCATGCAAAAAGTATCAAACATAAAGAGTTATTATCCGTTGGACAAACACCCTCCTCCATTCTGATTGGTGTAGTACACTGACGCCTTACCAACCTCTGATGTGACAGCTTTACAGCTATAACCAATTATGTATCTGATAGAGGAAACTCTGCCTGGTACCAGGTCCCTGCATTTGTGAGATACTGAAACATACAATCTCGTCCGCTCTTCTTATTGGTGTAGGATACTGCACTTTTCACCTACCACCTGACATGACAGCTTTTATGGCTGTACCCATTTGTATATGGACGAGAGCACTCTGCCAGGAACCAGGTCCCCGCATTTGTGAGGATCATCAAAACACCTAGAATATAACATTTTCTCCCTTTTTGATGATAGCACACAAATATACCTCACACTGAGTTTATCATTCATCTTATTGTCAGCAGTTCTAATAACAAGGATTTGGTTCCTTGTTAGATCGATAAGTTTGTTAAATCATCAAAACTTCATATCAAGTTCAAGCTATCATCTTAACTCAACTTCGAACTAACATTTCCCCCTTTTTGATGATAACATACTTATTCACCAGTTCCCCCTATCAAAAAGAATTCTTTAGGGTAACTTGAGTTCATCATCTCAAAGTTTGTCAACTCATCAAAATATCAACATAGCATTTTCCTCCTTTTTGATGATGACATACTTATTCATCAGTTCCCCCTATCAAAAAGAATTCTTGGGGTAACTGGAGTTTGATCATCCCTCAAGTTTATCAAATCATCAAAACATCAACATATCATCTTCCCCCTTTTTGATGATGACAAACATCTTCTTCCCCCTATCGACAGGACTAGGTCCTCGTCAGGTAGCAAGCATTTATTCCCCCTATCAGCATGACCATATCTTTTCAAGTAGCTACCATTGATTCCTCCTATCGATGTGACCATGTCTTCTTCAAGCAGTTATAACACTATTGATCTCATACCTTACCTTAACAACTTTCCCCCTTTTGACATCATAAAAAAGGGTTAAAGCAGTAAACCAAGTTGACAGAAATATAGTTCTTGCAAATTCGTGGCCACTTGGGCAACACAGAGCATGAGTAAAAAGACATAAAGTAATGAGACAAGTTAGTAGAAACAAGACATTTAACATTCATAAACAAAAGATCAGTCATCAAAGCATTGCATGTATGATTACAGATGAAAATCAGAACAATGCCCAAGAGATAAATGAGGGCTGACATAGAGAGGTAGGAAGAGAAGGGATGATTTAGAGGCAAGGGATTGAAAGAATAGAATTAGTAGAGCATATCCCTAGCATAAGATTTCAAGAATTTTCTCTTAGCGTACAACATGATGTGCAGCCCAACCTGTATGTTTAACCTTTAGGGCTGCCAATTTTTTTTTGGCACCTGGTCCCTCTGATAGTGTTGTTTCAGAAGCTGGACTTTTAAACAACCCATATCAGTATTCCAGTTAACACGAGCAAATGTCATAGCTTTCAACACCAGCCTGAGTTTTTCATAACAGAAAGATTGGTAACACAAACAACTCAAGGCCTCCGAGATGAATAGATCAACAATTGAGGAACCAAGAAGATTTTCTTTCTTCTCCCCTTTTTTTTACACCTTCCTCTTCAGAAAACTTTGAGTTCTCAGAATATCAACTTTTTTTTTAGCATCATCTTTTTCACTTCTTCATTTTTCATGGAGGACCAGATCCCTCTTCACACTTAAAACATTTTCATCAAAGAATTCTCCAGCAAGAATCAAGGGGTTAACAATTTGAAGTGTGTTTGAAAAGAAGAGAAAAGAAAATTTTAAAGAACCTTGATATTTGGAAGGCAACTCAATCTTTCTGGGGAAATAGAAAGAAATATGGAATATAAAAAAAGAGAAA